GGAATTCGTGAGACAAGTTGGAAAATGCTGATGGCCGGATCGAGATACAGCGACGCCGAAACGACGGAGGGCGGCTCCCTCCTCCTCCTCCTTCGTGGAAGGAACGAATATTCCTTGCCCGGTCTTGGGAAAATGATTTAGAGGAGGCGTTGGTCGAGACGTATCAAGCCAAGGATTCTTTACGAGACGGGATTCCTCTTGGGAATCTCGGCCCTATGCGGGATGACAATCGAGTTTTTCAAAAAAATTTACACTTCCAATGCAAAAGGAAACAAATGTAAAAATATTTCTCTTACGTGTTAGATAGACAGCTTCGTCAATGGCGAAATTCGTTCCACGGATAATACGATTTATCCATGGAACCACGAGTTTTCCACGAGCGATATTAAAATCGCCAAACTTCGCCCATTCCTGCGAGAATCCTCACGTATCGATACAATCGGGTTCCCCTCTCCTATTCGGCTCGCAAATAAAGAAAATGAGAAGGCGGAGGAGGCAACTATCCCCCAGGAATAATCGAAAGAGGGAGAGAGAGAGAGAGAGAGATGTCAAAGATACACAGAGAAGTGTAGAAGTCGGCGGTCCTCGTACCGGAACTTCCTTCCTTCCTTCCGCCGACTGATCGACGAGCCAAGTTTTCTCGTCTCTCGGATTTGGGTCGGGATCCCCGCCTCTTTCTCTCTCTCTCTCTCTCTTCTTTTTCCTTTTCTTTTCCGATTTTTCGACTCGCCGGTAATTTCCAGGCAAGTTTTTCCTCCCCGCGTATCGTTCGGGCTGCCTCATGAAAGTCTGATGACGAGAGCAGAGAAGTTGAGAAGAGGCGATAGGAAGGTGATTGGACGACGACAGAAGTGGAGGAGGGGGATCTCTCCTCTAAGAGAAATTGTATTTTTCAACGATAACATTCTTCTTGAAAATATGTATACGTATATTATACATTGCTTGCAAAAGTTGAGTGTGAAAAGAACAATGGAAGATTGTACAAATAAATTTCGTTTCGTTTCGTGGAATACGTAAAAAAGTGTTGTTTACTTGTGGCAAGAGGGGACGTCCTTCGCTAGGATCGCTTATCTTTATTGGCAAACCCGACACCTGGCGCGCAGTAAAAAAAAAAGCTATATTCAAAAATTATTTTCTAAATATTCAACTTAAATTATTTCGATATATACGTACAATCATTGTATTAAGTTTATAAAATGAAACTATCGTATGAGAATAATTACTCTCCAAGAGTAATTATTCAAATTCTGAAAATTCAAAGCGTGTAATAAATTATCTTGATTGAAGAAGAAACAAGAAGGATCCTCTCCTTCTACTTTCTTGCGCTAACTCTATAAAGGTTAGGCTCGCCTAATGTAATTTGGGATCGCGCCTTTATCGTACAAATGAACGGTTACTTTGCATCGGGTTTTAGAGACGTTTTAGACGGTGGCGCGTTTCTTGCCACGGGACGATTCGTCTTTCGTCGTGAAATCGAGAGGTGGTGTTTCCGTTTAAGCCGCTCGATCAATCTTCCTCCTCTGTGACCGTATACGGTTGACACAAGTGTTGTTTCGTTGAATCGTTGCAAATTATATTTGCGAATTATTTGTTGCGTGAAAAAGTGGTGGAATAATTCGAGGCGATGCTCGGTTTCGGGACTCGAGTTCGGGAGTTAAATCGAAATAAATTATTATTCGTGTATACAATTTTTTTTTTTTTTTTTTTGTTCGATTCGTTCCTTTAAATTTTTCATCTCGACGAGGATCGAGCAATTGCAGAAAGAAATCGAAGGTAATTTACTTCTTCGAGACAAGATCTCGCAAGAATTCACTCTGAATATATATATATTTTTTGTCTCGTGGAATAAAAAGTATGGCCATCATCCTGCTGCATTAACTTCGGCAGAATGGCTTTAAATTGCAGGCTTTGTTTCGGGCGGGATACGTTTTCTTTCGCGTGACCGACTTACGGAATTTTCTTTTGTTGCAGCGTAAAAAGATGTATTCTTCTTCTTCTTCTTCTTCTTTTTCTTCTTTCAGCCCTCCCCCCACCTCTCCTGCACCTTCTGTTTTCTTTGTTTCTTCCCCGAATGCAATGATAATAATTCCTCGAATAATAAATTATCCCGGGGACGTTTTAATTCGCGAAAATAAGAAAAGGAAAAGAGACGAACCGGGAAACGCTTTAATTTTCGACGAACTCAATTTATTGTTATTAAATGTTATAACCTACTCGAAACCGTTATTTCCACGTTGTGCGTAAAAACCGATTATTCGAAGGGACGAGCAATGATACTCGCGTGATCAATTAAAAGAATCCACCGAATAATTCGAATGAAGGGATCCGCCATCGAGCCTGTTAAAACGTCACCAACCTAGCTCAAATCTCACTTTATTTTAAAACTTCTCGAGAACGCAACCACGTCTTTCTCGCTCGAAGAAATATCATTTCCTTGTCGATGCGACAAAGTCGGCGGCAGGCCATCTTGCTTCACGCGCCAGAAGATAGAAGGAGACGGTGAAACAGGAGAGGGGAATCGTCGTTCCGTCCCCTCGTCGCAATAGCTGCTCCTATGGAACAGCTGTTGTCCTATGGTGAATCGAGCATTTTGCGCCGAGGGAATAGGTCGGAGCAAGTTTTTCCTGTCCACGGCCCTCCACCCCTCCCTCTCCTCCCCCCCCCTCTCACGGCCATTTTTAACCGCGGATCTTTTACTCTGACGCTTTCGACGTCCGTAACTTTTGCACCTCGTCCCGTTGTTTCAATTTCTTCTTGTGAATTCAAAGTGTGAGCAAAGTGTGTTTCGTGGTGCTCGATCGACATGGAAATTGACGAGGGAGGAGGGTATCGCACGTTAAGGTTTTTTTTTTTTTATTTAATTTTTTTAATGCAATGCAATTTATATCATGTTTCGTGCTGTTTTGAACAAATGCATAAACACGCGTATACGTCCTCGATGCGGTTTTTTCCTACTCAACTTAATTGAAGAAAAACTGGAAAATTATAAAAGTTATAGAATATACTCCTCGTTGGAGCGTAAGGAAAATAAAGATGGAAGATCGCTAAACTTGTTCCGTGCGATCAGTATACGATGTAAATAAATTGTTATATAAGCTAGAGACAAGAAAATTCGCAAGATATCGGAATAATAAAATTGTATCTACACGATTACGATTCGTTTCCCACGAAATAAAATCATAAATAAAATCGTGTATAACACGCGCCCGATATATTAATATATTCCCATCTTCCACCCATTTTATCCACCATTTTTTCTCGTCGATATCCGCTGAAAGGGCGCACGAAAATCCAATAACTCGTCCATCAATTTTCGAATACCGGTTGAAAAAAACGGAATCAAAACAGGCGGTCGTAAGTACTTTCTATCCTCTTGTGTCGCCCTCTTCTCAACTAGGAACATTTTTTTCCCCCAACCGACGGTGTCGCCGCCTATCTCGGTGCGAACTGGGTCAAAGTAATATTCCCCGCGCCACCAAGGGACGAGTATCCATCGAGGGGATACGCTCCATACGTAGCGCGACGTAGTCGTTAATAACGAGCCGCTGTTACGGCTGAAAAATGGATTGCGAATACCTGAGATATGATAATAAAGGTGAAATATCGAGAGGACCGTGGAAAGTGGCCGTAGCGTCGGGTTGCGATCCTTCATCGCGCAAAGCCCCTCGATAAGACCGCTATTGGAATCTCGATAGGGGTAGCCGAAGGGGTGGGGTGGAGATCGCGGATTTGAACCGTCTCGAGGGGGAAAGGGATGGCCGGGAGGGGATAGGAGAAGAGGCGTATAGTCCACGTCTAGAAAGGTGTTTGCGCGCGAGAGACCTCTCGTCTCGTCTCGCGAGTATCCTAGTTATCCTAGGGGATAAAATGTGGATGGATGAGCCATAGATTTATACCACCGATCCCTGTAATATCGTATCTACGCGGCGCAGCGAAGGGTGAGGAGCGGGCGGAGGGGGCTTGTCAACGGTACGGGATGATGCATCGCGATCAAATGCTGATAACGCATGTCGAAGATCCATTAAAAAACCACCAACCGTGTTTTTGTCGCACGAAGTTGTTAATCTTAATTTTCTCTCCTTCGATTTACACACTTTTCGGAAAAAATTTAGGCCCTTAAAATTTAGGATTAGATGACACGACAATCTTTCGTCGAAGCATCGAGACACACAATTTGTTTCGTTACTTATTCATTTTTAGAAACGTATAGATAATTGTTCTCGAAGAAAGATCTAGGAATCCACCAGCAGAGACGACGACGCATTATCGATTATTGAACGCACGATGTGGCACAATGTCCGCCACTCCGACATTGCGTACGTTTTAAAAAGCGGCCGCTGTTTTCGCTCGGCCTGTTCGTAAATCGTTCGCCGCTTATCAATCATTTCCGAAGCGCGGTCTCGACAGGTCTCATCAATCCGTTGTATCGTCGAGCAATACGTTGGGTGGGGGAAATATTGGGCAAGCGTTTTACGACGATTCGTCGGAGGAAAAAGATCGTGTGTGCATATGTAACGCGACCATAACGCGCTGCTCGAGCATCGCTGCTCGAAACGGTATCGAAGTAAACGAGCGTTGTTCTCCTTTTGCCTGGCTGGTGGCGGTAGTATCGAGGAAAAGAGTCGGGAAGTCATTGAAAAAGAGAGGTTTTGTCAGAATACGGGATATACCGGCGAGGATTGGGTCGAAATTGGGATGAGGGGCGACCGGGGGGGGGAGGGAGGAGGGATGGAAGTGGTGGTGGTGGTGGTGGGGATGGAAGCAGATATATATCCACGGCAATGCGTTACGGGTTCAGCTAAATCCGCCATGATGAATGTGTTGGCGGAATAAATCCGCAATGCACACCCCCACTGCCTTCATCCTCCGCCTCCCCCCCCCTCCTACTTTTACCCTGCCGATTCCCTCCCCTCCCCCTTAACATCGCTCGTCCTCATACACTTTCGAATACATCTCTTTCTCCTCCCTCCCTCCCTCCCTCCCTTCCTTCCTTCCTTCCTTCCTTCCTTCCTTCCTTCCTTCCTCCTTTCTTCCCGCTATTTGCTCTCTTTTTGTTACCGCTTCTCCCCCACCTCCGCCTCCCCTGTCTTTCTTGGCTTCTCTTTTGCCATTGCGCGCCTCTCCGTCCATTTCTTTTGGCTTCTTCTTCTTCTTCTTCTTCTTATATCGAGCGTCTTTATATCGAGCCCCGGCCAGATATTGTCCGGTTTTTTCTCGCGTAACACACTCGCGACGCGTATATATATATATATATATATTTTTACGATACTCGATCTCTAGAGTCTGGGAATAAAATTATTTGGCTCGATTAGCGGACGATTTGTCCGATTAATACGAGATACCGGCGGGGGGGGGGGTGAGGGAGGGTTCCTTCCAAAAGATGTACGGCCACGAGAAAAGAAATGGTAGATAAAAGTTGGTTGGTTGAAATTCTTCTATATTATTATAGTTATTTCGAAACGTTCGAGAGAAGTTTTATCCGTTCTTCCTTTACGAGTTCTTTTTGAGTTAAATAAATTAAACACTGTCCGTACATCTTTCGAAAAAGTTCGAGCCATTCTACTTAAAAGGTAAAAAGAGGATGTATGTAAACTTCGGATACGGTAACGATATATCTTGTTGAATGAAAAAAGCATCAGATATTTCGACTAAAGAGGACAGGTAGGACGATTTCCATATTTGACCGTAAAAAAAAAAAAAAAATAATCGAGATACTTTTTTCTCCTTCTCCGCACGCGATGTATCGTGAATTGGTGGAAAAATAGTTTTATCGATTTGTTTACATCGCGTATTTAAAATGCAATCTCCCATCCGGTTATCAATCTCTCCTCCGGCATCTTTTCGCGTTTATTCCACTCTCTCCCCTCTCGCCCGTGCGAATACGAATACCACTCTATTCTTCCGCGTCCATGATGAAGCTGTGCGGCGCTGCGCGCGCACGCACGTGACCACGCACACACATAGGCGTAAAACGCGGCTGATCACGTTTTCTGCCTCTTCCTTTCTCTCCTCTCTCTCTCTCTCTCTTTGCTCTCGAACACGCTCGACCTCTCTTTTATTTATGCACGTCTGCACCGGGCAGGTGGACGTTTATTAGGATTTATGGAATGGATCATTTCACGCTTGGCAAGCATTTTTTATCGCTGCCTCTTCTTAAATGAGATGCAACGATCACCGTGGCGATGACGAGGAAGGAGAGATCGCGCGATACGGAAATCGGTCCAACCGTCCCAGATGATAATTTATCCCGTGATTTTCGAGTTTTATCTTCTTGTCGGAAGTTTTTCACCAGAGAAACAAAAATCTAAGGGTTTAATATTCTTTTGAACGCTCGCGAACGCTCGAACAAATAATATTTTCACTCGTGAATTGCGATCTCGAAATCAAATTATCGACTCGACTCGAGGGGGCGAGAGAGAGAGAGAGAGAGAGAGAGAGAAGGCAAAGAAAAGGAGGGCGAGGAAAAATAGGTCGAGGTACAAAGGAATCGCCGAAATTCCTTCGCCACGTTTGAAGAGAGAGAGAGAGAGGAGGAAGAAAAGAAAAAGGAATCGCGA